AGAGCAGGGCAGCCCCCCCCTCCAGACCAGGAGGCAGAAGGGTGGGTGCCCCTATGCAAGACAATGGGGGGGGGGTGTCTCGCTCCCCTTCAGACATTTGTAACCTCCAGGAACATTTGGGGAGGGGGAGAAAAGGGCCTCTGCCACAGCAGGAGCATCAGAGGGGCCCAATCCCCCCCCAGCCGCTCAGCCCAGCTTCCCTCCACAGAGCCAGGGGGTGAGGCAGGGGAGGGGAGGGGGGCAGAAGGTGGTGATTCAGGAAAGGCCCCCTTTCTCAAGAGCTGCATACCCTGCATTAACCCCCCTCCCCATCCAAGAATCCAGAAGGGGCCGGAGGGAGCCCAGATGCAGCTGGCTCCAGCTGTTCCTGGCGGAAGGAAGGGCCAGATGTGGATTCGCCTTAAGCTGAAGAGTCTCATCCCCCCCCCCGCCCCCCCATCCCTCCTTCAGGAAACTGGAGCTGTGTAAGGCAGCCTCTTCAAGCCCTCAGACCCAAAATTAGGGGAGGGAGAGAAAATGCTGCCAAGCACCTTCCTCACTTGGAGGATGCCCAGAGGGGAGTTCGGGACCCTCCCCTCCCCCATTGTTAGGGGTCTCTGCACAAACAGGGGCCAGCCACCTACAGCTGGCAGGCAGGGAGCAGACCAGGCTGGAGGAAGAAACCCCAGTGGGGCAGCTCAGCCTGGGCATCCCCCATCCCTGCCCCAGAGCTGCCCTCGACTCCCTCCTTCACCCTATGAGTCTAGAACCCCACCTATTCATTTGCAGAGGGTGGGAATGCTGCTCTCTGCCTCTCTCTCCCCTCCCCGAGACGGTGGCCTTCAACTCATGAGAGTTCAGTGATTGTTCAAAGTTACAAGATAATGAGAAAAGCCACTTATGGCTGTGCCCACGTGATCAAAACTCGGACCCTTGGCAACTGCCTCATGTTTACGACGGTCGCAGGATGCCTCGGCCCCCTGATCCCCGTTTGTGACCTTCTGACAAGCGGAGTCAATGGGGAAGCTGGACTCATTTAACAACCATGTTGCTAACTTAACGGCTGCAGTGATTCCCTTACCGACAGTGGCAAGAAAGGCCATGAAATGGGGCAAAATCCACTTAACTGCTTCGCTTAGCAACCAAAGTTTTGGGCTGAATTGTCATAATCCGAGGACTGCCTGAAGTTCCCATGCGTGCTGTCAGCGATGCAGCCGCCTGGGGGTCCCAACGCAGCCCAGGAGCCTCTGGGACGCCTGGGGAGGAAGGCGGTTGGGAGACTTGCTCAATAAACCCACAGGAAAAGGACCCCCCCACCCGAGGCCTCAGGAGCCGAGAAGCGCCATCCTTGCCATAATGCTGGCTGCTGGGAGTTGCAGCGCAAGGCTTCTCAGGAGGCCTCCGAAGTCCTGCTGGCCAAACCTTTGGGGGAAAGTCTCCACATCTGGAGAGCATCAAGTCCTGCAACCCCGCTGGACCTCTCAGAAACCAAAGGAGGGAAACAAAACTGCTTATGCCCCTTGACCCCTGGAGGATCAGCCCCCCCATCTCTCCTCCCCCCCCCGCCCCAGAGAGGGAGCCAGCCCTGCGCCTGGCCCTCTTTCTCCAGCTGCAGCCACAGGTTTTCCTCCGGCCCCTGAAGCCCCTCTGCAGAGGAGGAGGGGGCTCTGCGTGGGTGCCCAGCCTCTTTCCCTTGCCGCGCCTGGCAGGTCAGGCCGAGTGGGCCTCTTGGCCACACATCAAACGCCACCGAGCCACTTCCAGCGCAATCAAAGGGGAGAGAACAATGGACGGGAGCTCAGGTAGAAACACACCCCATTCCTGGGACAGGAGCTCCTGCTTCTCCCTCCGACATCCCAGGTGGGAGGATTTATGCCCAGGCAGGTCCAGCCAATGTCGGTCTGCAAATAAAACCGGGATTTCTGGCTCTGCTGGATTCTGTGGAACCCCGCCATGAGGGTGGGGCAGCAGCCGGGAGGGGGGAGAGACCCTCATTTCCTTCACAGGCAGCGCCCAGGAAAGGCCTCTGGACACAGCTGGCCTCCTTCCCTGGCCAGAACTGCCCCCCTCCCCGTCCCAATCCCAGGCTCAGCTGAGGGGGGGCCCTGCCAGTCGGTGCCCCAGCCCCCCCAAAGGCCTTGAGGAGGGCAGCGAAGGGCCTGCTGAGGGCCAGGGCCACACTGGACCAGGCTGCATCCAGGCCTTCTGGCCGTGCCCCGACAGGAGGTGGGAAAGGACGGTGGGAGCCTTGGTGGTTTCCTTGCAGATGTTTCATTGCCCAACTAGGTAACATCATCCGTGCTGGGAGGTACAGGGGTCTGCAGAAAGCCCTCCCAGCCGAGAGAGCACCCAGGACCTCCGATTCCCACCCTCAGCTACAAAGACCCTCCCTGATTGGTAAACGCTGATTGGTGTGTATCTTTCTTCCCCCTAAATGTGTGGAGGGCCGATGAGGTCCATGAACGCAACACATTCCTTGCTGAAAGTCCCTTCCCTCGCCTTCACCCCCCCACCCCCCACCCCCGGACAAATGTTTATTGAGGTTATATGACGTTGACTTCCGGTGACGTCATTGTGCCTAGAGGGGGGTAATGGAGCCCCTCTAACCCCTGACTCTGATTTCTTCGTGTGGGCTCAATAATGTGTGTTTTCATATGTCTGCCTGTGTGGCATCTGCCTTGCTGCCCTTTTCTCTTTGCTGGGGGGGGGGGAATGGGCTGGGAGGGGTCCTTTCTTCTTAGGAGCCGAGGTGGCGCAGTGGTTAAATGCAGCACTGCAGGCTACTGCTAGATCAGCAGTTCAGCGGTTCAAATCTCACCGGCTCAGGGTTGACTCAGCCTTCCATCCTTCCGAGGGGGGTGAAATGAGGACCCGGATTGTTGTTGGGGGCAATATGCTGACTCTGTAAACCGCTTAGAGAGGGCTGAAAGCCCTATGAAGCGGTATATAAGTCTACTGCTATTCTCACAGGCTCTGGAGGTCTGCAGTGGGCAAGGGGCCCCGTCAGCCATCCGTCAGCCTCCTTGGCAGGCCCGGACCTCCTTCCTCAAGAGGGAGAAAAAGGTTAAATGAAGCTACTACAACCTCCCCCCCCCCCAATTAAACAAGGAGAGGGGTAAAAGCCCAGGATCAGCCTCAAAGGGGGGGGGAGGGCTTCTGCCGGGACCCTCCCTGTAGCCATGCGGGAAGCCCTGAGCCCAGGGAAATGCCTTCGGGAGACAGGGGTGGGGGGGAGGCAGGCAAAGGGGTGGGGCGGGGGGTCAGCTGCTGCCCCCAATCAATCCAGTCCAACTGCAGGAAGGGTTTTTTAACAAGGAAGGGCAACGCCCAGAGATGGGTGGAAGGTGGCGCTCGAGGGCAACTTCCCCCCCTCCCTCCCTCCCCTCCTGAAGGGCCGGGGGGGGGGTCTTGAGGGCACCTGGGAATCTCAGGCTCCCCAGACAAAAGGGGGGGTGGGGAGTCCACAGCCAGGACCTTGAGCCTCCATTGCTGGCATCAGAGAGCAGCTGCGCCTCCGGCAGGGACGTAGGAGAATAAGGGTAGTTTTCAACTTACAACAGTTCACTTAGTGACCATTTGAAGTGACGATGGCACTGGAAAAGTGACATGGCCATTTTTCATACTTACGACCATTGCGGCATCCCAATGGCCACGCGGTCGACATTCAGACCCCGGGCAACTGATTCATATTTATGACGGTTGCCGTGTCCTGGGGTCACGCCATCCCCATTTGCGACCTTTGGACAAGCCAAGTCAAAGGGGAAGCCGGATTCACTTAACAACTGTGGCAAGAAAGGTCGTAAAATGGGATAAAGCATTTGTTAAGTGTCTTGCTTAGCGACGGAGGTTTTGGGCTCAATTGTGGCCGTTCGTTTGAGCAGAGGGCAGAGGAAGAGCAGCCCCCAGCCAGAGGGACAGGAAGGCCCCCCTCCCCCCTTCGGAAGGTGCACCCTCCCTGCTGCTCTGAGGGTTTCGTTCCCTGGTCTCCTCTGGTCCTGTGAGCCGAGGCTGGATGGGGGGGACCCCAAATCAAGCCTGTGGCAGCCCCCCTTCTTCTTCCCAAAGCCAGGCCAGAAATCTTAGCACATGGGGGGGCCTCTTCCTTTGCCCACTTCCAGATGCAGAAGATTTGAGGGGTTCAGAGCCCCTCAGAGGCAACCTTCCCATCCCAGACCCCTCCTGTGCTCCCTCTAAAGGAGCCTCTGGGGACGGCTGAGGAGCTGGGCTGGACTCCCCTCCCTCTTCCCCTCCTGGAACCTTCCCCCAAAGGCCTCCGCTCCCTTCCCTTGGGCTCTCCCTGGCCTGGGAACTGCCCTGCCCTGGCTCTGGCCAATGTACAGGGCCCCCTGATGCCCCCCCTGGCAGTCCCCCGAGGGCTCTGAGGGAGAGGGGGGCACCCTTTGCATGGAAAGGGTCCAGAGGGGGAGGGGGAGCACGGGGGAGGGGGGTGATGGATCCACAGATGAGCTCAGCCGGGAGGAAGTGGCCGCTTTGTGGGGAGAGGCAGCCGGTCACATTTTCCAGGCCATCCAGACAATAAACATCAAAGGCCGAGAAGGGAGAAGGCTGCTCCTTTGCTGCACATGAAAAGCCATTTTGTCCCCCTTAACAATGCCAGGATTATTTAGATCCACTTCCTCGTGCCAAAGGAGGGGGCCTCAGACCCATTGACTGCCCCAGGCTTCAAAGAGAGTCTTCTGCATGTCCAGCAGCCCCACAGCAGGAGGGCTTTCACCCCGTGGCCGCCTTGTTTACCTCCCCCCCCCACTGTTGCTCCCCCCCTGCCAGGCCGGAGGGCTTCTGCAGGGGGCCTTGCTTGGAATCCAGCCCCACAACTGCCTCAGACCGGCCCCCCTTTGCCCAGTCAGCTTTCGCCCAGAGGTTTTACGGCCACTCATCTGCTCTGGTCAAGCAGAGTAAATCCAGCCCCTTTGGCCTGGTGTGAGTTCAGTAACGGTGTGTGTGTGTGTGTGTGTGTGTCTTGGTTGACTCCAGCACAGCTTTGAAGGAAACCTCCTCACAGTGAGGTCCATCTCTTCCACCACCACCACCACCCCCCCAGACAAGGAGAGGGGCTGGCACTTCCGACCCATGGCGGTATGTGTGTGTGTGTGTGTGTCTCTGACCAAGCAAGCTTCAGTTTTTGAAAGCTTCTACCTTGAATTGCCTTTGTTGGCATGGGAAGGGGCTGCCCGGCTCCCCCTAAATTCAAGAGCTCTGGGTTCCTTCCACCACCATGTGGGGCTGCAGGAAGCCCACCATCTCCCTGGGCAGGAGAGGGAAGCCCCCTGCCGCCTTTGCTGCTGCCCTGAGCAGCTGCGCTTGGTGCCCTGTCCTCTGTGATGCCACAGGCAGTGGGTGTGGGGGGGGGGGCGGAGGACAGTCCCTGGGGGGACTTGCTCGGGCAGTGGGGCAGCTCCTCAGGCTGGGGACCCATCACTCCCTTCTGGTTCACATCTCACAGAGGTCTCCCATTGACCGGAAGGGGAGCTGGCCAAAGGTTGCTTGGCTCGGTTGGAAGGAAAGAGGGTCCCTTCGCTCTTCTGGGGAGGGGGCTGCCCAGAGGAGCCTTGAGGGTTTTCCAGACCCTCCTCCTCCACCAGACTTTGTGGGGGGGCAGCCCCAAAGAAACCCCCACATTGCAGGCTAGGAATGCAAGAGCGGAACAGGCGCACATCTGGCTGGGCACTGGAAATATGTCTCCCAGATGTGTCCTCACAGCAAGTCAACTTCACGGTGAGTTAACTGCAACTTCAGGCTTCAAGGCTTCTTTCAGGCTGTAACCGACTCCGGATGCTTTTCCCATTATTCCCTCCGAGGGACGGTTCAGAGGAGGGCTGGAGGGAGGGAGGGGCTTCAGCCCCCACAGCCCAGGATTCAGGCCAAGAGCTTAAAGGGGAGGGGGAGGCCCCCTGCAGGCCCTTGCACTCCCTTCCGGACTTAACTTCCAAGAAAGTCCTGATTGCAGGCCAGACTCAAGCCCCCCCCCCTTTCCCCTGCCCGCCAAGGAGGAGGCGGACACAGCCAATGATGGAGGATCTTCCTAGCTCAGGGTTGAAACAAGGGCTCCGTGGGGCTCCCCAAGCTTGGCGGGTTTCATGACCCAACTGCTGTATCCTATTAGTAGTGCTGGAAGCGGGGAGGGAAGAGGAGGACTGTGGGGTCCTTGGTGCTCCCTCAGCTTGGCTGTTTTCATGCAGACGTTTCATGACCCAACTAGGGAACATCATCAGTGCTGGTGCTGATGTTACCTAGTTTGGGTAATGAAAGGTCTGCAGGAAAACCGCCAGGCTCAGAGAGCCCCAAGGAGCCGCCAGGCAGAACCCACTGAGCGGTGGGGGCCTTGAAGTGAAGGGAGTCCTTCCTTGCTCTTACTGCCCACCACTGACTGGGGTAGATGATTGGGGGGGGGTCTTGATCCCCTGTCATCTCCGCACAGAGCCCCCCCCCAATGCTCTGCAAAGGTCACCTGAGCTAAGGGGTCCTTTCCCTCCCTGGAGCCAGGCTCATTAGCTGAAGGGGGGGCTTCCTTTCCCTTCACTGCTAAAAGGCCTTAATTGCTCCGGGGGGGTGGGGTGGGGGTGGTAATACCCTTCCCCTCCTTGGGGGAGAGGGGGAGGGTCTCCTGTGGTTTAGGGGAGCCCTTTCATTTAGCCTGCTATAAAATCATTATCAGGTTGTCTCTCGCCTAGCATGGCTGGGCGGGTCTCCCTCCCCCTGGCCTGGCCGCTGCAGGGAGCCGCTGGGGGTCTGGGCTGGCCAGAGGAGGCGGGGTTTCCTCCTCCTCCTCCTCCTCCCTATCCGGATTCGTCCCTGGACGCCCCCATTGTCCAGGGCAGCCTTGTCTGGCAGGGGGATCATTGCTTGTAATCTCTGGGTGAAACCCCCCCCCCATCTCAGCACTCATTAACCGCAGGGCTGAGGCCATTGTGAGGCTCTAGGAATGCAGTGTGGAGGGGGGGCACCTGTTCCGCCACTTAGCGATTTTGAGTTCTCCCTTCTGCCTCTGCCCGGCTAATCTGGAGATCGGGGGGGGGCAAGACGCCCAGAGCCTGTTTGCCAAGCGTGCAACTGTGTCAATCTGCCCGCTGAGACAAAGGAAACGGCTGTGTCAAGAGGCCCCCAGCTCCCCACGGGGCAAAGAGGGGCCGAAATGCCGCATCCAGGCCCAGAGGCGGAGGGGGCTGCCGGCTAATCCTCCCCTCATCTCTGGGGCTCCGAGGGCCTTTGAGGGGATCTGGAATCTCTGCCCAGGGATCGGGCGTGGGGCAAAGTGGGGGGAGCATTGTGTGCACTGCCTGGAGAGGCACGAAATGAAGGCAGGACAGGAATCAAGTCAAACTCTCAGTCCTGGCACAAAAAGCCCAGGGGGGGGGGTAGCTGAAACACTTCCAGGGGGCGATGGGGGGGGCTGCCACCACTGCACAGGGCAGGAGCTCCCGCGGGGCAATTCTAGGAAAAAAAAAATTCTAGGAATCAGCTGCACTCGTGCCCTGGGTGGGGGAGGTGAGGGGGTGCAGCCCAGGCAGTGGAGGAGGGGCAGGAGAGCCAGGATCCCCCCCCCCGCTCTTCCAGGCCAGGATGAGGATCACTTGCACCCACCCAGAGAGGTCACGGAGTCCCATCGGCCTCAGCTTGGAAGCCCCTTCACCCAGCAGTGGAATCCAGCGGGTTCTGACCGGTTCTGGAGAACCCGTAGCGGAAACTTTGAGTCGTTAGGAGAACCGGCCAATGCCACCTCTGGCTGTCCCCGGAGTGGGGCGGGAATGGGGATTTTGCAGTATCCTTCCCCTGCCACGCCCACCAAGCCACGCCCACAGACCCGTAGTAGAAAAACCTGAATTTCACCCCTGCAGCTGAGGTGCCCCGAAAACTCTGCTGGAAAGAGATACCAGCAGAAGTGGGGGAGGGGGGCTCCTGGCTCGGAGGAAACTGCCAAGACCACCCCCCACTCCAACATCAGTGGGGAAGACTGTATTGTAGTTTGTAGTTTTATTAGTTGTAGTTTTATTAGAATTTGTAGGCCGCCCTTTTCCCTGAGGGGACTCAGGGCGGCTCACATAAAACTGGGAAGGGGGG